CAGTGACAACATAACAGTAAGAGAGAGAGCATACCGTACCTTTAGGATTTACCTTGTATTTATAGAGGTTACATGTGGGTAGTGTGGATGGGCCTTTGGTGTCTCTAATGTGGGCCCAGACCTGCTTGCTATGCTGTCGTATTAGGATTAGTATCCTTGATGGATATCTATCCATAATTATTGCTGATTGAAATCTTGAATTGACCCTTGTTGGGCCTATCACTAAATAAGCCCTTATATAGGTTCATAACAACTTGCAACACAAAATAATTCAATTGGAATTATAGCTCTAGTTAATTTATTTAGTGGGTATAAATAATAATTAGTGGGCAGTGACAATGGTGACGGAGGATAGAGGTGATAGCCATAAAAGAAGAATTTCCTATTCCATCGTTTTTTTTAATCCAAACTTAAACTCCCTTAAAATACCTTATCAATATGCATGTAGTCATGTACGATAAATTAAGTCAACAATAGATTAATTTATCATATCCTAAAAACACATTAAATAATAAATAAAAATATCATATAATAATGACAAAAGTATTTTTATTTTTGTTGCATATTTTTTTCTACCACACTCGTATAAAAATAAAAGTTCTTCATTATAAATATAATAGGTTTCACTCATTTTCATATAAATGAAAAAAAAAAAATTGTGGGATGAAAACAAAAATGTTCAATCCTGTAGTAATCTATCATGTCATATTCTCATTATTGTATGCACCAAAGCCCAAAGGAGCTCTTGTGCCTAAAGTAACATTAGACTACTTACTACTTTGCGTATGGGACATGAATTGAGGAACAAAACTCCTCTCTCTTCAGTTCATGCTTTACGGTGAAACACGGCAACCGTCAGTTTCAGACCTAACTATATAAGATGAGAAAAACATTTATTCTTTTTTAAAGTATATAAATTTATATCATTTTAAATCTTAACTATTGATTTTCGTCCACCAACGATTATAATCTATTAGGTCAAATTTAATGAGTCAAATTTATTATTAATTAATTAATAATTTTGACTCAATAGATTATAACCGTTGATGGACGGAAATCAACGATTAAAATCTAAAATGATATAAACTTATATCATTTAAAATGACAGATGTTATTCGCATATAAAATATGGGGTATGTTTTTTCTCACGATAAAAAACATACTTTCTATACACTTAATAAAAGATGTATTTTTATAAAAAAATAAATGAACCTCATGTTTTATGTCTATAACGAGAAAATTTAAAATGGTCTAAGAACATTGGATGATTGAATACTTTTTTTTTTTGAGTTACCCAACCTTAATTATCTCTTTGAGACGAGTTGGCTCCCTCCGGTATCCCCATGAGCTTCGACTCTTTGAGCCGGCTATGAGACTAATCCGGAGTGCGGGGGAACAGTGATGGCTAAAGGTTCAGCCCCCTCCCCAAGAATGCATTCAGCGGGAATCGAACACATATCCAACCCCATTAACTCAGCGCCAAATTACCAACTGAGCTGCACCCATTGGGTGATGATTGAATATTTTCTCTCACATGTACAATTTTTTTTATTTTAGTTTTATCCACGCAAAAATTCCCTTTTCACTTTTTATCCTTCTCATTTTGTGAGAAGGGATCACCAAAAAGATAGTGATCCAGATGCACAAAAAATAATCTAATCTACAACACAGTGGAAACTATTTGATACAATATGAGAATTATTTTTTCTATATAAATATGGGTAATACATCTCTTATTTAATTTGAAATTTTTTTCCTACATTAACAAAAGTTTGAAACCCATAAGTTAAAGAAAAAAAATACAGGTCTTTTTATGTTTTTGTGATATGAGATAATTATCTCCCATAATTGAAGAAAACAATTTTCCTATAAATATATAAGGAAGGTTATAGTTACAACTTTTTTTTTTACAACCTCTTACAACCATATCTTAACACCGTTGATTTCCGCCAATCAATGGTTATCATTTATTATGAATTAATAATTAATCAATGAGTTTAATTTACGAAAATCATAACCGTTGATTGACGGAAATCAACAGTATCAAGATATGGTTGTAAGAGTTGTAAAAAAAAAAGGTTGTAAGTATAACTTACTTCTAAATATATATGATAAATTTCAAAAGCATAAATTATACAAAAAAAAAATAAAAAAATGAATATGTTTGCAACATTGTCTACTCCTTTCCGTTTGATTAGACTTAATCAACGTGGCTTGAATACATTGCCAGGGTAGGTCCATGCATACCATCTAAATCTTTTCTTTCATTTACATTTAATTACATCCTCTCTATTACTACCTTACATGTATATTACTTTCTAATCATCAAAACAAAAGTAAACATCTTATCAGTGAATAAAAGACACTAGTTCCTGACTTAGTGACATCGTAATACAAATCATCATCGTAAAGAAAAGATTACAATTGCATCAATTTGTTTTATTCTAACAGACAATATTATTTATATTTTCATTGAAAAAAACAATGTAGTAGGAATTTCTTTGTCTTTTTTCTTTCTTTCTAAAAATGGAAAAAACCAAAGGGAAATATGCATAAAAAATATATAAATAATATTAACTTGCTATAAAACATATATATATATATATATATATATATATATATATATATATATATATATATATATCGTTTAAGATAAATTTTTTGTTAAATGTGCACTCTTCTCTTTGTATTTCAAAATTGAATATTCCCTTTGAATCTTAAATTTTGTTAAGGGAAAAACGAAATAATTGTTAAAAAAATGATCACTGACAACAAATTTGGTATGTTTTCATTTTATATTTTACTTCAGAGTTTCCTAGATAGATGTAAATGGAAAAAAGTTTAAAGAACCTTTAAAAATTGAGATTTCAGTTTTAACATCATATGAATTTTATATATTTACTTAAAACTTAAAAGAAATTCGTTAAAATGCATAACATTGATCAAAATACCATTTATAACTTTAGTGATCAAAACATGAAATGGAGGAATTTAACGGGACAATGTGGTGGAATTTAAGAAAACAACAACGTTTTTAACATGAACTTTATCTTTTGGGGGAAAAATAAAGGGATTTGCATTCACCATGCAACATGACAATAAACAATTTCTTACGGACGCAATATTTTGTGGGGTTCACATTTTTTGAAAAAAAAAAAAAAAACTACGGCACAAAAAAGAGGTACTTCCAAATTCTCTCTCTTCCCAAAATGTGAAGATATTGAAAAGAGATATAGCATGGTATTCAAGGAGGAGAATTACAATGGTTCCGAATTATCATTTATTCAGTGGTCCAGATCAATCAAAATCATATAATTATTGAGAAAAAATAAAAAATAACATTTTGTTCAAGTAGCACCTCTTGAATGAAAAGACCACATGAGACCACGAGCATAAAAAAAATTCCGTATTCAAGCCAACTCATATCGCTTCGTCAAGTGAAGTATTTTGAATGCTACTGTCGCACCAAAATTTTTTAATATGTTCTCGGACCACCACCGTGGTTCTTCCACTCAAATATTGACACATGTATTATTTTTTATTTTATTTTTTTCTCTCTCTTTTCTCAACTTTTTTTTTTTCTCTCACCTCAGTCCCACCCAATATTTTTTGATCCCGGACCACTATAAGTTCGCTGTGTCGCATCATTGATTGGGTGCGACAATCTAATTAAAATGCCTTGTTTCTTGTGCCATATGTACAGAGTGAAAATAAAAAATTCCAGATGTAATTTTTTAAATTACAATTGTACGTGCTACGGATGTATAGAAAGTGTTCTCCTCGTCAAGACTCTATACAAAGAGGTCGAATTGAAACATTTATCCATCTTGGTTTTCACCGGTTGTTTTTTTTTTTTTTGAAGAATGGCTTTTTCTTGGTTTTCACCTGTTTTACTAGGCTATAAGTTAAGGGTAATATATCCCTTACGTAAAGGGTAATAACATCAGTATTATTCCAAGAGACAAAAAAACAATCGACTCCACTTGTGTTAAACTCTTTTTCTATTGTTTGTAGGCCATATTTGTAAATTGTGTCTGTAGCAGAAGATTTGTAAGTTTAGTGCAACAGAAGAATTATAAATCCCATAAGTTAACTATATTTAAAAGGACTATTAAACTTGAACTTCATGAATCATTATTAAAAGATGAGGTTTAGGATTATAGAAAAGAAAAAAGAAAAAAAAGATGAGGTCTAGAACTGAAAACTTACTAAGTTAGAGGGTTTTTTTTCCTTCAAAAATAAAATCTCAACATTTTACGGGGTAGCTTTAAGGCTGACATCTGATCCTTGCGTATGCAAAGATTCATGAGATTACTCACAAGGCAACTAGGGACAATTATGCATTTAATACTGAGGATAACGACAAGATCATATTATTCTTCATATAAGTATCTGCACAATATATATTTTCTTATTTTATACATGTGTGTATATACCTAACATAATTAAACTTAAGATGTTATAAATGAATACTCAAGGCCGGAATAAAAAACGAAACAAGAAAAACACCGTCCTTCTATTAACATTCCTGTTTGTCAGTGACCATCATAGCTTGCCGTGCCCGTACCAGGGGTTAAACGGGACGATCCACGGGGGCCGTTTACCCAGCTGTAGATTGTGACGTGTATGAAAATAAAATATACGGACGCCACTGTTGAAAATTAAAAAAATTAAATTAATAAATTGAAGGGTTAATGTTTCTCCTATATTAGAGAAAATAAATTTATTTTTTACATATAAAAAAATATACGAGACTCAAATGCCCCCATAAACATAAAAAAGAGGAAAAAAATATGGATATGTATATAAGAATATAAATTTATTTACTATGCAACAGTAAACTTAAATTTAATAGGCTTTACTTAAAAAGCAGTTTCCCGAAATAATTTTGTTGTGACCGGAAAACCACAGTAAGGAATACAAAAACCGCCTCATCTCATTGCGTCTCTCTCTCTCTCCAACATCGTTTGTAACCATTAATATACGTTCATTCATAGTAACTCTCAACAGCCTCTATTCCCTCCTTTTTCCTCTCTAGTCCCTAGTCCTAGACTCTTCCCTTCTCTCAGTCTTTTTTGTCTAAAAATAAAATAAACGCCATTTATCTTCGCTTCCTTATCCCACAACTGCTAAACCAAATACAGACACACACACAAAAATACTTTCTCCGCGTGTTTCTCTTCTCTTCTCCACAGCACAGCCTTCCCCATGAACCAATAGCTAGCTTGCACACACACACACACACACACACACACACACACAGAGTGGTTTTATATGGCGTACCATAACCACCACCTCCCCCAAGACCTCCCACTCCACCACTTCACAGACCAACAACACCAACACCAACACCATAACCAGCCTCTCACTGATAACTCCATATTGCCAGACCAGCTTGCTTCGTCACCAGACCACACCACCAAACCTGGCTCCGATCCTCACCACTCGCTCCAAACCGCACCCAATTGGCTCAACAACGCCCTTCTTCGCACCCACTACACCGACAACAACAACAACAATAACAACTCCAACAACAACAACAACGTTAACGCTGCCAACAATAATAACGGCACCAATTTCCTCAACCTCCATACTGCCGCTTCCGACACCACCACCGGAGCCGGCGTTGCTGCTTCCCAATCATCTGGCCAATGGCTTTCCCGCTCGATTCTCCACCGTAACCGCAGCGAAGTCATCGACGACGTCGCCGCCGCAGCAGCCTTGTCGCACGAATCCGCCGATTTGAAGGCGACCGGCGGTGGAGAGAAGAACGAGGACAGCGGCGGCCGGGACGGCCTGATGAGCTGGCAGAATGCTAGGTATAAGGCGGAGATTCTAGCGCACCCGTTGTACGAACAGCTTCTGTCGGCACACGTGGCGTGCTTGCGGATCGCCACGCCGGTTGACCAGTTGCCCAGAATCGACGCTCAGCTCGCACAGTCCCAGAATGTGGTCGCCAAGTACTCTGCGTTCGGACATGGGGCTCAGGACATGCTTGGGGATGATAAGGAACTCGATCAGTTCTTGGTATTCTTCATATTTTCTTTCTAATTTGTTTTATTGTTTCTTAATCGATACGAGAATTCGACAATTCTCTTTTTTTTCTTCTTCTTGTGATTATTTTTGCTTTCTCTGCGTTTCGAAATGATGGTTATTAATTATAATTAAATAAGAAAAAGATGCAAATAGATAGGAAGCAAATTGTTCGAATTCGACTTTTTCAGCTAATTTTGTGCTGAATTTGACATTCAAAATCTAACCCCTAATTGGGATGGTTTTACACTTTTACTGTCATATCTCTTATGGTGCGTTTGGCGAGGAATTTTTTTGCAGAGTTTGTCTTTAGTTTTTGAGTTTTATTTATCTACGCTTTCTTCTTCTAATCACATCCTTACATAGTTACAGCACGTTTTTCATTCATAGCATATTTGGGAGTTGCTTCTTTCGAGTTTCTATCCCTGTTCTAAATTTTCTGCCACGAGCTTTTGCAAGCTTCTGTCTGGAAATCCTTGCCACTGGAATGTAATTATGTTTGTTTTCCGTAATATTGTGAAGAAAATTTTCTCGCAACAACGCACTATTTTGGGTTGGTTCATATTATTCCATGCCCTTATGGATATTGATTATGAACTTGAATTTTGTTCTTCATTTTGTCATGGTGTGTAATAAGTTCAGCTGTGGTGGACGAAGATGGCTGGCTTGCGCTAAAGAGTTTATTTGCTATGACACAGTCACAATTTTGATATTTTCTCTATTGATGCTGCAGTCGCACTATGTTTTGTTGCTCTGTTCCTTCAAAGAACAACTCCAACAACATGTCCGGGTTCATGCAATGGAAGCAGTTATGGCTTGCTGGGAGATAGAGCAATCCTTACAAAGTCTAACAGGTGAAGTAATTGTCTTCTTTTAAGGATTGTTACATCTTAACACAAAAATAAAGGTTGTTTGCGTGATTAAATGTAAATAACATATTCTAAGGTTATTTTTTAACATTTTATATTCCTCAAACCAACCTGTAATTTACTCACTCAAACAAAATATATTACTTATGAGTAATTAAGGGTCAGTTCCCTTAAAATTCGGCGAAAATTTTGGATAGCTTTATATGAAAAATTGTATAAGAAAACCTCTCACTAAAATTTCCACTCACAATCTCAACGGGATGAACGCTAAAATGTTTTATAGGATTAATAGGCGTAATTTGTGCTACTATATGTTTGTGCCGCACTGTGGGTCTCAGGTTGGGAAGTTGGGACAGAGTTGTTTCTGTCAATTAATTCGGAGTTGGCTCACTGTCGGTACTTAAGTTCTCGAAATAAGGGGTTGTACAGGTAGTGGGGAATAGATATTCTCTCGGTGAAATTTTGTGTGACCTTATCATGAAATATATATATATATATATATATATATATATATATATTGACAAATTTTGATAGGGTCTCACATTTCTATAAAGAGAAGATATATGCAAAAATTTCACATGGCAATGTCATGTCAAATTTTACTATGAGAGAATCCATTCCCTATGTTTAACAATAAATGATATCCAAGTCCTTAATGGTTGATAGACAAAGATGAACATAACAAAGAGGAACAGAGTTGTTTCTCTCAATTAATTCAGATTCAGAGTACTCAAGTTCTCGAAATCAGGGATTGTACCTGTAGATGTAGAGAGTTGTAACCTAACTATAAAAAAATCTTACAAGGTCAACTATTAGTCAATACTGCAAAGTTCAGTGTAACAGTAAATGATATGCAAGTCCATAATGGTTGATAGACAAATTGAAACATGGCTACTGACATTAAATTTTTGTTCTCCTGTCCCCATATAAAGTATGTGGGTTTGGGAAACTTCAAATCTTGGTTAACTTTATTAAGATTGAAATTTATCTAAGCAGATGTTGAATAATTTACCAAACCCATATGCGTTGCCTTGGATGGAATGATGATAATTTCTGTGTTCTATGAAATTGTTGAAGACTTTATAGTGCACTGTCCAGTTGTCTATATTCTTAGCATGTTATGCCAAACTAATGTGCGCTTTGAACGTGGTCATAAACCTTTTGGTAGATTAGCTAACTTCTTGTGCACAAATAAAGAGCAAAACCAGAGCCCTTTTTCCAATTGGATGAGTACTAAAGTGATACTTTTTCCACATGCACAGGAGTTTCACCTGGGGAAGGTACAGGAGCAACGATGTCTGATGACGAAGATGACCAAGTAGATAGTGATGCCAATCTGTTTGATGGTGGTTTGGATGGTCCTGATAGCATGGGATTTGGCCCTCTTATTCCAACAGAGAATGAGAGGTCCCTCATGGAACGTGTAAGACATGAACTAAAGCATGAATTGAAACAGGTAAGGGATTAAATGTCAATAGCTTTCAAAGTCTCCCTTGAGTCGCATCATTTTAAATCTCTTCCCAGGTGATCGACCTCAAGTTTCTTTTTGTTATGTAGGGTTATAAAGAGAAAATTGTGGACATAAGAGAGGAAATTTTACGCAAGAGACGAGCTGGGAAACTTCCTGGTGACACGACCTCTGTCCTTAAAGCTTGGTGGCAATCACATTCCAAGTGGCCTTACCCTACAGTAAGAATTCAATATTGGCTCTACTAATTTTTTTGAGGAAATCCTTTTCGAGATTCAACTTATACTCTTTGAAAATTGAGTTTTGCTAAACATTAATGTTTTAGAACAATTTTGTACGAATTTAAAGACTAGCAACAAAGATGCCCTTGTATACATTTAGGGCAGTACAGAATAATTGAACTGAACTGTAAACCAAATGAACCCGTTTCGAAAACCAGTTCAGAAATAGTTTGCATCTTTGAACAGGTTCGAAATTAGTTATAAATCATGAACTGGTTTTGAAACATTAACTGGTTTTGAACCGGTTTGGGATAAATAAAACCGGTTCGGATTAAATAAAATAGTTTGATTCATTGAACCAAATCAGTTTAAATCAGTTTGGTTTGGTTTTGGGAAAAAACCGATTCAGATCGAACCATGCCCATCCCTCATTCATCCTAGAATTCAAATAAAAGTAATAAGGGTTTTACGCATTTGTCTGTCTATATGATTAATCTTTGTCCACTTAGTCTACATGTTAGCACAACAGTAAGCTTAGTATATGCGATCCAGGGGTTCTAAATTGAAGCTACTCCTGGACTATTTTGCAAGTGTACTTTTCAAAGTTAATATTACCTGCTGTCTCACAACTCACTCATCAATATTTTTACTCATCTTTAATCAATGTGTTGCTATTCAGGAGGAGGATAAGACAAGATTGGTGCAGGAAACGGGTTTGCAATTAAAACAGATCAATAATTGGTTTATCAATCAAAGGAAGAGGAACTGGCACAGCAATCCTTCAACTTCTACTGTCTTGAAGAGCAAGCGCAAAAGGTATTAATATTAAAAGATGTCCTTTTATTAATTTCAATGTGCATGAGCTTAGCACCAATCCTAATTTAAAAAGAAGCAGTGCAGGTGATAATAGTATTGATCGTTACATGTAAATGGTGGAAAACTCGAGAACCAATCCCTGACTGTACTCTGTTGGTTCTTTCTGTCGGGTCAATCATGCTGCATGGCAAGGGATTCAACGTAAAACAGTGGGGAGAAAACATCACATTTTGCTTCAGTTCAAGGAACAGGGTTAAAGCAGATGAGGACGCTTGAAAGCCTGCAGTACCTGTGGTGCAACAAAATTAGGGAGTTCAACTAGGATTTGTATACCGAAACCAAATTGGGTAATTCCGTGAGGTTATGATTATTAGTCAGATTTTAATGTTTGTGAAATATGTGTACTATGTAATCGTGCGGGGTTGTGGGTGTACAGTAATTATCTGAGCATTTTTCCTTCAACCATACTAATTTTAAATTTGTTATTGTTCTTAAATTTGGTGTTTTCCATGGAGTTTGATATATCTTCGTAAAATGTCCCGACACTTAATAAAGAAAGTACTAAAATGAAATTAAAAAAATAGACGCGTTTAATATATTTAGAACATAAAAAGCTTTTGTTAAAAGATAAGATATAATAAAATCATTCATTTGCTGCTGCTTTGTTTAAGCTTTTGAGAGTTGGTTGAAAATATAGTATTGAAGCCTATGATCAATTGATATAGAGTTCAATTCTTGTAGTCACCATTCATCAAATAAAAAAAATCCACTTTAGGCATGATTTGGAATATTCATATGAGACTCTTTTACGAAGCCCACATTGAAAGCCTTCACTCTTAAACAAAAACTTAAAAGTTGCTACAATTACTGTTATATCTCAGCAAGCTCCTTAGCAAATTTTACCACCAAGTATACTTCACCGCTAAGTAATCTCTGCAGTAAATTTATCACAAAGCCACCCATAAGAATCAATTGGAAAGCTTGACCGCCTCACCACTTGTAAGCCGCTTATCTCTCTACTATAAATACAATATGTGTTAACCAAAGGTAAACATCTTCTATATAAAAAATCTGCTTGAACCAAATCTGACTTGAGCGTTGAAGTGTTTTATAGATACACCCCCATCTTTATGATTTCATAATCCGTACGTGATAATTTCATCGTAATCTGTATGATTCTAAGGATAGACATAATGCTTATTTTCTTGGAGAATAACCGGAAAACTAGGGTTCTTGCAAGATTATAAAGAATTAGGCTATCATGGGATTGAATCCTAATTAAATTAAAAGAATCGATTGGATTGATATTAAGGACGATTAATCTAAAGAGTGAATTCAAACATAATAGAGAAGTTGAGGGAAGTTGAAACCCTAGCTACGTTTCTTTTCTGTCAAGTAATCAATATTTTTACGTTCTTGTTTTTGTTCTGGATTTCATTAGTTTTAATCTTAGTTTTTAATATTTTGAATATCAACCAAATTGAATTTCACAATTGATTTTGATTGTCCAACTTAAGTAGAAATAGTGAATTAGTGTTTGGAACTATAATCCTCGTGGGAACGATTCTGTACCCGTACACTTTATTACTTGAACGACCGGTGCAAATATAAGAAAGGTATGCAAATATATGAATTATGAAATGTATATGTAAGATGTAGAGTACAAATATTATTGTGAAACTCTCAAGCACCAGCAAGTACATGCCACAGTGCCAAATAAAAGCATAGTGAAATGAATCTGTCGGGTTGACACATAAATCATCTCGCGGACCTATACATCTCGCTACTCATGCTCTCAGCATAAGCAACGAGCTACAGGGCTTCTTATCTGGAATATTCATATGAGGCCCACATTGAAAGCTTTCACCCTTAAGCAAGAACATAAGTCAACAAAGGCTGCTGCAATTACTATTACATCTGAGCAAGCTCCTTAGCAAACTTCACCACTAAGTATACTCATCGCCAAGCAATCTCTGTAGCAAACTTATCAAAAGCCACCCACAAGAACCAATTGGAAAGCTTGACTCCCTCTCCACTTGCAATCCGCTTATCTCTCCACCAAGCTGGACATCTCTCTACCATAAATACATGTGTTAACCATAGATATACATCTTCTTCTAAATAAAAAACCTCCTTGATTCAAATATAGTTTGAGTGTTAAAATGTATTGCTGGTACATGATGTGAGTCTAGCAGATGATGTTTTCTAACTTAAAAGAAGCAAGGAATTAATCATAAATGTGTGAAAATAGTCATTAAATGGAAGAAATATTGATTATTCCTTCTCAATCATGCTTTCACTCAAGTTACATGTTAAATAGCAGGAAACGCCGCAAAAAGGAGCAAAAACGGAGAAATCAAATTTCCCGCTGGCGCACGACGCGCGGAGGTTGGAACACGGCGCGCCAAACTGGCGCACAGGACGCGGTACCTGGCGCACGGGGCACCAAATCGACGATTTGCTTCTGTTTCGGACGCGCACGGCGCGCGGGAGTTGGCGCCCGGCGCTCGAGAGTTGGAGCACGGCGCGCGGGACTGGCGCACGGCACTCCAGAGTTGGCGCCCGGGGCGCCGTTGACAGATTCAGCTTCTGTTTCTCCCAAGTTTGGGGCGCCAGGCTTGACGCCCCGTGCGTGGGCGATATATTTTTAAGTGCGAATCAACTAAAATAAGGCCCAATTGGAGTGCAGGTGAAAATAGGTTTTCCCAAAACCTAATAAAAGGATCAGAAACAGAGGAAGAAGGGAACTTTTGGACAATCAAGAGGAGAAAAACAACAAAAAGAGTGGAGATTCCTTGGAGCTTCTCAGAGATTCAAGGATTCGATCGATCAAGACGGAAGATCTTCATCTTCCCTTTCTCTTCTAGGTTTTAAATGCTACTTTATTTTATTGTTATTTTGTCAGACGTGAACATGTCTGGCTAGTTTATCATTGTGGTAAGGGTCACAACCCTTGATGTGAACCCCTTGTACCTTGGTTGAAATTTATGTCTATCTATTTTAATTGAGTTTATCTTTTCTTGTTCTTCATTTTATAATTCTATTGGAACTGATCAATCTAGTAGGATTGCGAGGGTTAGGGTTTTCGATAGGGATGTTGGAATTCTAATTCCTAACAAAGAATAAGATAACTGTTCATGTACGCACTAGGGATAGGCTACATGAACAGCGAACGTTAAAGGTTCATTGATTCTAAGGGTTAACTCGAAAAGGGATTTCTAAGGGATTATGATTCTAATAGTGTTGACAAGGTTAAGATCACTAAGGGATTAGGGCTTAACTAATCATATAAAAGATGATGAATTGTTCGTTTAATTGAATATGTAAATGTAAACGTAATCCAAGTTGCAAGGTGGGGATCAGAAGGGTGTTTTTTTCTCTTCCTGCAATATTTTCTCAAATATTTTCCCAATCCTTAATCTTTTGTTCTTGCATTCTGAAAGCACTTTTGGAATCATTTACATTTTTCCTTTAATTATTTTAGTTTATTTTATAAACCACAATTGCTCTCAACCTAGTTTGATTAATCCAACAAGAGAGGAATAGTTATAACAACTTAGGTGCCTCAATCCTCGTGGAGACGATACTCTACTCACTCTTTATTACTTGGTACGATCGGTGCACTTGTCGATTTTACGCATCAAGTTTTTGGCGCCGTTGCCAGGGATTGACTACGCCAAGTTATTTATAACTTTTGATTTTCTTGATTGGATTCTTGTGTTACTAATCTGTTTGCTTTAGTTTATGCGTGGTACAGTTGATCCTAAGACTTTGATCTACGATCCAGAGATAGAAAGGACTGCAAAGAGATTAAGACAACTTACCAGGCAGAGAAGGCAAGCACAAACTTCTACTCCACAGTTTGAAGTAGAAACAGAGATGCCAGCTCAAGATCCACCAGCAGCTGAGTTGATGGAATCAATTTTGGCCCCTCAATTCACAAGGCCGAACTCGAGTATTGTCAAGCCACCAATTGCTGCTACTAACTATGACATCCAGCCATCACTCATCACATTGGTGGAGAAAACTCAGTTTGGTGGGGAAGACTATGAAGATCCTCACGACTTCATAGACAAATTTTTAAGGATCTGTGATACAACTAAGCACAACGGAGTGACAGACGATGCAATCAGACTCCGATTGTTTCCGTTTGCCTTGACCGGAAGAGCTCTTAAATGGTTGGACCGACAGGCTCCTAACAGTATCCGCACATGGGATGAGTTAGCAGCCAAGTTCTTTGCTGAGCACTTTTCCATAGAAAAGTACAATAAGTTGGTGAATGAAATCACCAATTTTACCCAACAACCAGGAGATACTTTATGTGCAGCCTGGACTCGATACCAGGAGTTAATCAGAAAGTGTCCATAATATGCCTTGCCAGATACAAAGAAGGTCAGAGTCTTCTATAATAGGATGACACCAGAATGCAGAATGATTGTCAATGGTGCAGCTGGTGGAACCATAGGAAAGAAGACAGCAGATGAGACCTTAGAGCTGCTGGATTTAATGGCAAGGAATGAGAATGCGTCTATGGCAGCAGCATCCCCATCTGTTCAGCCCAAGAAAGGAATTTTACAATTGGGGAATAATGATGCATCATTGGCTGAGAAAAAAGTGATTTCACAGCAATTGGCTTGTTTGAATGCCAAGCTGGACAAGATGCAGCTCTTAACATCCTAGGTTGATATATTTAACTGTGAGTATTGCAAGGAGCCGCATGATATTAATGAGTGCCCTACACTCAATAAAGCTGAACCATTCCAGGTCAATGGAATTTGGTATGATCCACGGCCTCCACAGAATACTCAAGGTTGCCAAAGGAATCAGAATGGTGGCCAACGAAATAACTTTCAAAGGAGGAATCAAGGGAGCGGCTTGGATTATAAATCCAACAATTATCTGCAACCTCTTCCTCTGCCACAAAAAGAGCCATCCAAATTGGAGAAAGCGATGATACAACTGTCCAAAACCACTAATGATCACATAAATGGGACAAGAGCTTACCACAAGAACCAGGATGTTTCAATCAGAAACTTGGAGACTCAAATTGGCCAACTTTCAAGGCAACTAGCTGAGAAGAGTCAAGAAAGGAGCAATGCAGTGCCAAAGGAGCAATGCAATGTCATCACTACAAGGAATAAGGAGCTAGAAAAAAAGAAAGTTGAAGTTTCTACAAGAAAGGATGAACAAGCTCAAAAGGATAAAGAATAAGTAATGGAACAACCTCCTACAGTTCAAAAGAAGCAATGGGATTTCTCACGTTTTGAGAAACCCCCATATCCAATGAGGCCCAAGCAAAATGAGCAAAGGAAGCAATTTTCTCAATTTTTAGATATTTTTAAGAAATTGCATATTAATATTCCTTTTGCAGAAGCTCTGGAGCAAATGCCTTCGTATGCCAAATTCTTGAAGGAGACATTATCTAAGAAGCGGAAGCTCACAGAGGATGAACCTGTCATATT